GCAAGAGTTCTTTCTTCCACCCTGGACATTCCACAGATATCTACACCTCACTTGTCTAGTTTCCAACAGACCTCACAAACTTCTGAGGATTCCTGCCATAGATGTGGGTGAAATGTCAGGAGAGAATGCTTCCGGAACATGGCCATGTAGCCCGGAAAACTCAGAGCAACCCAATGAACAAACTGCCACACAATCAGTAGAATAATATGGAATGCAAAGAATGCAGCAGTTTGGAATCATTCCTCAAAGAGTGCAAAATGTTTAAAGGAGTCCTATCCATCAGAAAAGGACAACATTAATCATGTGCCCAGCATAAGTCACCAAACAACACCGTAGGTCTCATGGCAACAAAGCTAAATGTGGGCTATATACACATTTGAAGTGCTAACACTCACACATATTAAAAAGTAAAATGACAGCTGTTGAGAGAAAGCATAGAGATGATTCAGTTAAATAATAGGTCACCTAAATGACACAACCTGGGGATTTCAACTAGACATCTGCCATTGGGCTTTGCTACTCTGCTGCTGAGTACGCATGCCCAGTGTGGAACACATCTCACCACTTTAAAACAGTGGATGTGGCTCTTAATGAGACATGCTGCATTATCACAGGATGTGTATGCCCTACACTACTGGAGAAATTACACTTTTCAGCTGGTATCACACCATCTGACATCCACCAGGAAGTAGCAGCCAATAATGAAAGGACCAAGGCAGCGACATCTCCGGTCCATCCCGCATATCAGCCAGCACACCAACGCCTTAAATCAAGAAATAGTTTCCTAAGATCTACAGAGATACTCGCAGGAACCCCTCAGCAAGCAAGAGTCTAAAAGTGACAGGCCAAAACCTGGAACCTCAAGCCATGGCTGATACCAAATGAGAGACTCCCCCCTGGGCACACAGAAAACTGGGTGACTTGGAAGGCGCTGAACAGACTGCGCTCTGGCACCACGAGATGCAGAGCCAACCTTAAGAAATGGGGCCACAAAGTGGAGTCCATGACATGCAAACATGCTCAATGGAGGAGCTTCTTACGGCAACACCAGAGGCACTCCAAGTGGCCTGCTTCTGCCAAGTTTTTAAGCTTTGTTTGTGTTTTTAAATACATTATTATTTATTATTATTTACTTTGCTTATATACCGCTGTATCTCAAGCCCGAAGGCGACTCACAGCGGTTCACAAACAGTAAAAACAGTAGAAACAGCAGTGGTTCCATGCAACATATAACAATTGACTTAACACATTATCCATAAATTACCAATAAGCAATTACAATGCGCAATTATTACGAAAAATATAACTGTACACTCAATTTGCTTCTGGCACAATTAAAAAGTCATCCAAAAGGACATTTGGGGTAACACAACTAGATGCTAAGTATTGTTTAAAGATCATAAAATCATAGAGTTGGAAGAGACTTCATGGGCCATCCAGTCCAACCCTATTCTGCCAAGAAGCAGGAAAATTGCATTCAAAACACTCCCGACAGATGGCCATCCAGCCTCTATTTAAAAGCCTCCAAAGAAGGAGCCTCCACTACACTCCAGGACAGAGAGTTCCACTGCTGAACAGCTCCACAGTCAGAAATTTTTCCTCATGTTCAGATGGAATCTCCTTTCTTGTAGTTTGAAGCCACTGTTCCATGTCCTAGTCTCTGGGACAGCAGAAAACAAGCTTGCTCCCTCGTCCTCATGACTTCCTCTCACATATTTATACATGGCTCTCATCATGTCTCCTCTCAGCCTTCTCTCCTGCAGACTAAACATGCCCAGTCTTTAAGCCACTCCTCATAGGGCTTGTTCTCCAGACCCTTGATCATTTTAGTCACCTTCCTCTCATTCCAGCTTGTCAATATTTCTCTTTAATTGTGGTGTCCAGAATTCGACACAATATTCCTGCCCTGGTTAGACCTTAAAGATTAATGTGTCCAATTCTGGGCACCACAATTGAAGAGAGATATTGACAAGCTGGAATGTGTCCAGAGGACAACTAAAATGATTAAGGGTCTGGAGAACAAGCCCTATGAGGAGCGGCTTAAAGAGCTGGGCATGTTTAGCCTGAAGAAGAGAAGGCTGAGAGGAGACATGATAGCCTTGTATAAATACGTGAGGGAAAGTCCTAGGGAGGAGGGAGCAAGCTTGTTTTCTGCTGTCCTGGAGACTAGGATGCAATTGAACAATGGCTTCCCACCATATACAGTAGCTATGAGAAGGATCATGCTCCTTCCCATAGCTACTCTATATGCTCATGTATAACTCATGAAATTTTTATAAAAATTACCCACTGGCTACATCAAAAGCCTCAATTTTGCCCCCAAAACCTGCCCTCAACTTATACACAAGTATATGCAGTACTTTTTTTAAAAGGTACCCTACATTCAAGATAATTACATGGTTATATATTCAACTCTGAATTAGAAGTATAATGTAACAGCGTTCTGGTTTCAAGAACACTGTGTGGCGTGTGGGAGGGGAGGGGTGGTAATTGCAAGGGAACAGCTGAGGAACCACCAAGTCGTTTTTCTCTCCATCAGATTTCAGTTCCACTTGAGATTTCAAATTGCTTATGAATACGTCCATAAACAAGGGATTGTTCCGAACATCTGTAAGCAAACTATGAAGAGATATTTCATACTGAATGAACATCACAGGTTTCACATAATGACTGCCAAAAAACCATGTATTTGTGTATTTAGCCCAACACACTGGAAATAGCTCAAAACACATATTCATTGCAAATGCCTTTTTCACATTTGCATCTGTACAACGATTTACTGTGATGTAAAAATAATTCCCTATCAGGGTACTTATCGGCTTCAGAAATCTGAGCAGCCCAACGGCTCCTTGAAGTCATTGAAATGTGCCACAAATAAATCTAGTGCTCTCCCTCCTCAATGCACCCCCCCCCCAAAATACTCTACAGACCCCTTTCGGCTTGGCAAGTCACTCCCTTTCTCTGATCAGAATTTAAAGGGCTTCTTTGCCCGTTCCCTTCTTCTCCACGTCTTATTATTACTACTATTATTATCAGAATTATTATGTTTGTGTTGTCGAAGGCTTTCATAGGCAGAATCACTCAGTGGCTGTGAGTTTTTTGGGCTGTATGGCCATGTTTGTTTATTTATTTATTTGCCATATTTATATACCACCCCTCTCAACCCTGAGGCGACTCGAGGCGGTTTACAGTCGGCAGTCAATGCCTCCAAACAACATAAATACAGTTAAAAAACATTATTTATTTCTTGCATTTCTATCCTGTCCTTCTCAACCCCAGAAGGGGGACTCAGGACGGCTTACAATGGGTCCCATTCCGAAGCCATTACATAACAAATTACAAAATTAAAACCGCAATTAAGCATAGTTAACAATACATAAGCCATGGCTAAAACAGTAAAACAGTCTCATCAGCCATATCGTCATTCCAGTCACATTCCCTTGAAGTGCTGCTTGCATCTATTGTCCAAAAGGCTGGTCCCAAAACCATGGCTTTAGTTTCTTTCGAAAAACTAGGAGGGAGGTGGCCAATCATACCTCAGTTAGGAGTGTGTTCCAAAGGTGGGGGGCCACCGCCGAGAAGGCCCTGTCTCTCATCCCCGCCAGGCGCATTTATGCTGTTGACGGGAGCGAGAGCAGGGCCTTCCCAGATGATCTTAGGTTTCGAGGTCGGACGTAGGGGTGGATGTGTTCAGACAAGTAAGCTGGGCCATATAATATAAATCATATTAAATTACATATAATATAAACCATATAAAAGCAATAAAGTAAAAACCATAAAACACAAGTCCTCCAGTAGTATTTTCTCCTGACATTTCAGGAGTGTTCCAGTAGCATTCTCTCCTGATGTTTCACCTGCATCTGTGGCTAATGGGCATCTTCAGAGGTTCTCTTAGAAGTGAAGCATGTGGAGTGTGTGTATGTGTGTGTGTCTATCTCTCTGTCTATCTATCTGTCTGTCTGTCTGTCTGTGAGAGAAAGAACCCTTGTCTGTTTGAAGCAAGTGTGAATGTCGCAGTTAGCCAGCTTGATAAGCACTGAGTAGCCTTGCAGCTGCAAAGTCAATCAATGAGGGTATCTGCAAAGAGTAGGCATGGCCAAATTTTGATTGCACAGAAAAGGATTTTAGCCAGGTCCAATGCAATAGACACACAAGTAACATCATAAGGTTTTTCTTTAACACACACACTTGATCCTGCTATGACTTACTGTAACAACTTTGCCCCTCCAGATGTTTTGGACCTCTATGCCTGGCATAGAGGTAACTTTGCTGTTTTGCCTTAGGGCATCCTTTTTTTGGGAGGTGTTAACTGGCACTTGGTTGTTTGCTATATTGTCAAAGGCTTTCAAAATGTAGGGTGCCAGCTATAGTTTGTTCCTGGTTTTGGCTAGTGATCTATAAGAACCAAAACTCTGGCCAACTAAGCTGTTTGTTGGAGATTCCACCTGAACATGAAGAAGAACTTCCTAACTGTGAGAGCTGTTCAGCAGTGGAACTCTCTGCCCCACTGTGTGGTGTAGGCTCCTTCTTTGGAGGCTCTGAAACAGAGGCTGGTTGGCCATCTGTCAGGGGTGCTTTGAATACAAATTCCTGCTTCTTGGCAGAAAGGGGTTGGACTGGGTGGCCCACGAGGTCTCTTCCAACTTGATGATTCTATGATTCTTTGAAAGGATTCAAGTAAGTAGTTATAATTTAATATATGGAGGATCGTATTTCCAGACATAATTGACTCTTTTCCGAAGGGGAGACAAAAATGATGACCCAGAAGGAGGAGATTAAAGGATGCAAAATCAACTTTGTTGCTATGTGTTGTCCCAGGTCTGAACATGCCCATTCCTAGATTAGATGAACCAATATAGATTCAGTTTTAAATTGTTTCATGTATGTTCAGATCCCATTTGTATAGATAGTTTTCACTTTGCCGTGTTCTTACCTGTTTCTTTCCAGGTTATCACAGTGTTTCACTAACAGGTATACTAGCCACAAAAGAGGCTGCCTTACCTGAACAAACCTCTTCATAGGTGGGATTCGGGGTGAGTCCGCCCGCATAACCAACTTGAGTTGAGTAGACTCCTTTTTGCGTCCAAAATTTCCTCTCTACTCCCCAGAAGCAGCCCATCCCTGAAAGAAACATAAGGATTGTTGTGATAAAGGCATTTATGAGTAACTTTCTATTGAAAAAATGAGTGTTAGATTTCAGAGTTACAAATTGTTAAAAGTACATAAGATGTGCATTTTTAAAGAGCCGTGAAGGCAATACATGTCTAAGGACATGTGTGGCCTACATGATGGGTCGAGATGAGAACTATAACCCTTGAGGCAAGTCCCTGATCCACAGATGAGAAACCAAACCCAAAATACCACAGCCAAAAGACAAAGCGGCAAACAGTATCAGGGAAGTCAAAGGTAAGTATTTCATGAACCAAGAAGTCCAAAAGAAGTTCTAAGAACACTTCCTATCAACTCTGCTAAGCATTGATAGGACTGAATGGAATCAAGTAGGTCACATGTACCAAGTGTAGGAGGGGCAACCACCAACATGCTCATCCTCTAGCTCTGCCATTCAAAATAACGCACAGCACAGGTGCAGGCAAACAGTTTATATGAGTCACAGACACCATGAACAAGAAATGGGGGTTTCAAAACTTTATGCACTTGTTGTCTCCCTTTCTAAGCTCCAAACAGAGATGGGACTGGGCAGACGTAACATCACAAATGGCAATTTCTAGCTTGAGTTTGGTAAGTATTTCGATGGAATGTTAGCAGAAACCTAACATTAATCCCTCCTCCCACAATTTACTGAATTTGTTCACTGAATTTGTTTTTTTTTTGTTTTTTAGTATATTAATTAAATATAGAGGGACTTTTTAATTGAAATCCCCATATCTGCATTTGTTGGATGGAAGCTTTCAGAAAGCCTTTCTTGCAAGGACAGGAGGAATGTGTTAGCATTGCAGCTACAAGACTGCTCTCCAAGGTCCTGAAGCATCACAGACTCTGTGCTGCCCTGGGCTTCTCCCTTCTGGCTGCCTCATATCATGCCCTGCACTGTTGCCCAGATGATATCATAGAAGTAAGAATCCTAAAGTTAGAAGAGATGCAGGCAAAACGTCAGGAGAGAATGCTTCTGGAACATGGCCCTACAGCCTGGAAAACTCACAACAATCCAGTGATTCCGGCCATGAAAGCCTTCAACAATACATTGACTTTAAATGGCTGAACCAAGCCTGAATCTCACTGGGACCAACTTCAGACACGTCTTGCTTCCTTGGTGGTAATAACTCTAATCTGAAATGGCTCCCTTTCCCTAGGCAAACCATCTCTTAAAAACTGTTAGTTTTATGAGGGTGGAAATTAAGAAAACCCTTCCTGATACAAACAAGGAAGGGTTTTCTTAAATTCCACCCTCATAAAACAAACAGAAAAGTAACTTCTCTAAAACTCTGGGTGAGGCAGCCTGACAAAAGGAAATGGGACTTATACAGTTCCAGCATAGTCACCTAGTAAGTACACTTTTAAAAAACTAGTCTTGTCACAAATATATGAATCTCTTCAAATTCAGGCACAATCCAAAGTTTTAAAATGCTGATTCTTCCTTATTTTAGATCTTCAACTTTACTACCAGTTGAAAAAAAAGCTGCGATGAAAATGCTTAGTCTGTGGTAAAGGATCTCCATCTATGTAAAAGCTGCAGGGTTGGTAAAATGGCAATCATACATATTTTAACAGCATAATTTTCTTTTAGCTGATTAGCAAACTGTCAAAACACAATAATTTGTATTAATGGCAAACATTCATTTAATGTTCTACTTCCTGGCATCTGCAATCCTTAAAGGTGGCAGAGCCATAATTAACAAAATTAGAGATCAGACAGGAAGAGGGGGAAACCCTCTCAAACTAGACTATTTGTGCATGCAAATAATATTCAACGTGCACATGTGTATTCACCACCATGACCAGTGAGCGTGCAACTTTAACTGAATTACTGCCAACTGGCATAATCCGCAGGTAAGAGCTGGGAAAAAAATACCAGCGCAAGAAAAAAAAAAGCATTGCAACCAAAGAATTCTCCCCAGGAAGCTGAATGCTCCCAAGTAGGTTAAAAAAAAGCTAACCCAACATTAGTGCAATGGGAACCATCTTGAATTCTTTTGTTCTGTCGGCTGCTGCCCCATCTATTTATATATATACAGTTCCCGAATTACAAACATATGACTTACAAACAACTCATAGTTATGAATAGGGCTGCGACAATAGGAAGTGAGAGAAAGATACCCTTCAGAAGGGAAATTTACTCGTAACAGAGTTCTCATGGGGAAAATATCAGAAAAGTTGAGGTAAATCACCGTTCTTATCTCAGCTGCTTCGACCTTGCAAGGAACTTCTTGGAAGGCACAAAGTTGGATAAACACTGGATTCATCAATTCAGCTTTCAACGAAAGCAGCACTTTATCTTTATTAACAAAATATGTACACTACATTCTCCGGTCATGTCTGTTCACATTTCAGCACACTGCACAGAGCACATTGCTGACCTTTCTCGGTTTGCACAGGAAACTCCAAAAGTGGCACTCTATCAATTCTACCCATCTCTATTGTTTTAATCCATGCACTGCTGAAACCATGCAGTTTAAACTATAAATGATTTTCACACCAAAAAGGTGTCTCCATTGAAGCTTTCTCACCAATACTTGTTTCCAAATTTTTCAAAATCCAATTCTCACAGGGACAGAAAGTGAGGAGCTTTAAAAATGTACTGGTTCTAACTTACATACAAATTTAATTTGAGAACTTGAGGATAATAATAATAATAATAATAATAATAATAATAATAATAATACTTTATTTATATTCCAAGGGGATTCAGGGAGGATCACAGTACACATACACAGAAAACATTCAATGTCATTTTGGACAGACAGGAGAGAGACAGACAGAACAGAAAGGAGGTATGTTGTGTCGACATCCAGCTTTTTGGGGCCTTGGAGGTTGTGCTTGAATCCAGCCACAGGGGCATTCTGTTGCTCCATCATCTATGATTAAGAGCCACCAGGACTTCCTCCTTCCTTTTGGTCACCAGGCATTTTCTGAGCTTTTTTATGTTTCTTTATGGTGTCGTGAAATACCTCCCCAGCTTGTTTAGCAGTACCTAATTTCTCTACTTACAATTCAAGCTGTTTATGAACTGCTTAGGTAAACAGTGAGCTGGGCTGACAATTGGGAGCTCATGCCAACCCGGGACTTTGAACTGGCAACCTTTCCGTTAGTAGATCTTATAATTGCTGGTAATTTAGCAGCTGTGCTAAAGCCAGACTGCATATTGTTGATAGGTGTAGTAGTTTTAGCAACGGATTTTGACTCTGAAGACCAAAATGTGAATCCTCACTCAAGCATGAACTCCCATTGATTGGCCTTGGGCAAATACCACTCTCTCAGCCTCAGAGGAAGGCAAAAGTAACCTCCTCCAAATGAAACTTCATGTTAGGGTCACCCTAGGTTCATTATGAGAGGGAGATAACAAGAAGAAACCTATAAACTTGCATTTGTTCCTTCCCTATTCAGATAAGCACAGTTCAATGCCAAGAGCACATGATCTGAATTGCAGGTAGTTCTAGATTTCAAGCTTAGCCATTGAGAAGAATCTTAAACAGGGATCCTAAGAATGACTCCACTCCAAGCCCCCAGTGGGTTACTGTCAGCTGGAATGGGGCTACAAAGTGGAATCCACGACATGCGAGTGTGGAGAAGAGCAAACCACTGATCACCTGCTGCAATGCAACCTGAGCCCTGCTACATGCACAATGGAGGACCTTCTTGCGGCAACACCAGAAGCACTCCAAGTGGCCAGATACTGGTCAAAGGACATTTAATCAACTACCAAGCTAGCAAACTTTGTGTTTTGTCTGTCTGTTTGTTTGTTTTGTTAAAAATGTAATACAAATGTCTGGTTGCTCCTGACACAATAAATAAATAGCTGGAATAGGCAGTGAGTTAGACAGATATGCTGTGGGTCCGTATGTTCACATTTCCTTCCATTTCAATGAGGACCAATCTCATTGCGTATAACTTTTTAAGTTGGGAGGGAAAAGTCTAAATCTTCTGGATTCGGAATTTATTTGTTTTCAAACGTGAAAATGCTCTCTGTCCTTATTTTGAGCTGGATGCAATCTGACACCCTGAGTTGCATCTTTCCTTTCTTTGTAAGTCTTCTCTGGAAGTGAATCAGAACAGTGGCCTGCTGTCTTTGTCCAATTTACAAAGTTTCTGTAAAAGCTCACTTAACAGAACAAAGGCAGGCCTGCCATCAAACAGATCACAAAGGCATGGCTTTCCTTTGAAACTTCAGAAGGCAACTTCAAACTAAAGTCATGTACTGTGTCCGGCTCTTATCTTTGTCGCTGGCCAAAACGTCCAAAAAACAAAGAGGCAGAATCATGACAATTGTACTTCTCAGAAGAGTGAGGAGAGAGCATGAGGAATTGTATTTCAGACCCGAAAGCTCGCTGTTTCCTAACAGCTTGGCTATTGATTGAAATCAACAGAATTGCCCATAAGAAACATTCATTCTTTGCAAAAATGCATCTTTGCCATTGTTTATATGAACTGGCTCAGGTTGTAGAAGGGAAGAAAAGTGGAATACAAAAGCATGTTATCAGATGGAGGAATCCAAGAGACTGAGAGGTGCAAGGTTACTGAATATCCTAGGATGAATGAACAGCAAGACCTCCATTTCCACGGGAGCTAGGGGCACAGGGCTACTGTGGAAGCAATAAAACCCCACATATTTAAAAATCACTATTTTTTTTCATCGGAAAAAAATCTGTCTAGTAATCTCTAGGTCCTCCACCACATCTTCTGCCAGAAGTTGGCCATAGATTTTTGCTGGAGGACCAACAGATTCCTAGAAACAAAATATTAATCAAATATGTGAATAATCAAATTCCATAGTTAAAGGTGCGAATCTGGAGGGACAACTACTTGTGTAAAATACTTCTTCACTGAACACATAACAGATTTTCAACCAGTGACTATCATTTATCCATCAAGGGTTACCTCACAGACTCATAGAATCATAGAACCATAGAGTTGGGAGAGACCTCGTGGGCTATCCAGTCCAACCC